CAGATTGTACTGTGCAAATCACTGGGGGTATCAGATGTGAGATGTGAGCACACCTTTTGTGTTTTTTCATGAGGGTACAGTGAACTGTGTTTCCTACATTGCCGTCACTAAGGGTCCAGGAATATGCTCATTATTTGTTCTTCCGACTCCATCATGCACCCTCCACTCCAGTGTGATCTGTCACGCAGGTTTCATGAATTACAAGAGCAAAATCCACCTTAAGGGGAACAATATGCAGCAAGGCCTCAGAGCTGCAACCTATATCAGTGAATGTGTGTTCTTCAGCACATAATCAGTGCCAAAAAAACCTTTTATTGAATTTATTCAAATGTAATAACATGCAGTATATTTTCCAGAGAGTGTATTGTTCACGTTATGGATTGTGTCAGCTCCGTAAGACAGGAACAAAACATGGGATGTGAATTGAACTATGACTATGAGATAACTAGACAGATGCTTTGATTAGCTGTGATCTGATAAAGATGGAGTCTTGTTCTGTAGTTGATTATCAGTTGCTTGTGTTTATCATTTCAAGTTGAAAAACGGCCGTTTGCTGTTGAAAGCCAGCAGCAGATACAAACAGATCATTCAGAAACCACAAAAAGATCAGATTCTAATCACTATTATCAGTTTAATTTCTGTTATTTCCACCCTTCCTATTATCTGAAGGCACTTTGCGTGTCACTGCTGTACTGCATTGATGTTTTCTATCTTAGCTGCATGTGCTCCTTTGTAATAAAACGGAGCTCCAGTGAAGCTGTGTCTGAATGAGCCCATCTCTTACGATGTCGGTACAGTCTATTTATACTGTACGTCTGTCACGGGAAGATGAGCACACTTCAGTTGGTGGAAGCCAGGCGTTGTCGGCGTTGGCTCGATGGCGGTGTTGTTCTCAGCTGCCTCGACTGTACGTGTAGGTGTCAGTGGACACATGTCATCTTATAGGACGTTCTTAGTGATGCATGTTTTCATTTTCAGGCTACACAAGTAGAGAGCTCACAATTAGTTTTACTCTGTAACCAACCCAGGGTTGACCAGGGAGTACAGCATAAAATACTCCCTCCATTGACATGATTTGTGCAAAAACAGTGTTTTCATCGTGGTCATCCAAGGCCTTATGCCAAAACACATTGATCTTACAATAAAGTTGTTTTTTTATACCACAATTGTTGCTTTTTCTTTTTTTTACTTCTTCTGACTTTTCCCCTTCTCTGTGCACCTTGGAGGTACAGTAGGTGGCGCTGTGCCAGAATTTAGGCATTTTACTAAATGAAATCAGCTGTTTTACAAGCAGGCCTTTATGTCTTATATATATTAAATGATTGGTTGAACTAGTCCAGTATAAGGTCATGTTTACAATGATAACCTTTGTAAGTGTGCCAGCTTTCATATACTGTAGCTTAGCATCATGTGGTTCATACTGGGTACCAGGTTTCAGCTCCATAATACACCAGGTCACTGATCTAAAACATCCTAGTACATTATGTTTCACTTCATGTAGCATAGCATCATGTGGTTCATACTGGGTACCAGGTTTCAGCTCCATAATACACCAGGTCACTGATCTAAAACATCCTAGTACATTATGTTTCACTTCATATAGCATAGCATCATGTGGTTCATACTGGGTACCAGGTTTCAGCTCCATAATACACCAGGTCACTGATCTAAAACATCCTAGTACATTATGTTTCACTTCATATAGCTTAGCATCATGTGGTTCATACTGGGTACCAGGTTTCAGCTCCATAATACACCAGGTCACTGATCTAAAACATCCTAGTACATTATGTTTCACTTCATTTGACTCGTTCTAGGCAGCCATCAAGTATCACATTTCCTGTCTCACTGGATAAGTAGGACAGCTTGCCTCCTCATCTTGCCCTGGGCTCCTCTCTCACTGAATGCCCACCTATGCAGACAAGTGTCATCTAGCCAGCCTCCAATTAGCCCACCCTTCACACCGTGGTTCCCTTGGGTCCCAGTCTGAATGCTGACAGAACCTGTGGTTATCTTGTCCTCACATCAAGCTAATCCAAATCATGCACTGACTTTAAGTGACAAGGTAAACAGCTCCCCAGCTCAACACAGATAATACTTTTGGACATCCTCCTCAGTTATATAGTATGTACCGGTATAGGCTACAGAACTGAGGACTCAGGTTGTCTGTTCATCCTTTTCGAAGCCTTGTGGCTTCTCTGGGTTTCTTTTGAAATATACTGATGTGCAAAGGTGTCTTAAGAGCCCCATCACACTCACTTCAAGTGCATATTTGAAATTAAAATTAGAAAATGAGCCTGACAGGTGTTGGTTTTCATTCCAGGTAGATATCATTTATCAGGCAGGATCTGCCGAGTCAGCAGACAGCTTCTGGTGTGTAATTTAGTTCTCTGTGGGCAGAAAGGAAGGAGTTTATAATGAATGGGGATGGCACAGAGACAGAGTGCATGGAATTAACCTCACATGGCTTGAGCTTTTTTTTTTTTCTTAGTCATCTGTCATTATAAAGCAGTTCTCTCAACATACTTCTCATATCAGGTGTTTCAAACCATTGGCCCAAGTTACAGGAGCCTTTCAGACGACGATACAGATGTATCAACCTCTTTTAGTCCCGAGATTAGAAACAACGCCCTGTCTTGTTTGTACTGTCGTAGGAAAGGAAGTCAGTAAATGCTCTCATAGCTTCCACTTCAGTCGAGATATCAAGTTAAAACACTGACAATTTTATGTCCAATGAGTCACAGCACCCCCCCCAAACGGGTCTTTCCATGGATCAACTAATAGGTTAACTTACACCTGCAGCAGTAGAAATAAATGAAGCCTTCACTACTGATGCCGTTCCTGTGGACGTCCCAACCTTTGTTGATTCCTTACAACAACGATTTCATCTGTTCAAAATAAATAAACATCAATCTTTTATTTCAGTCTTGGCACCAGATTTTTGTCTTTTGTTGTGAAGCAGAAGTTGCTCAAATTTGTCAGTTCCACAGATGCGTGACATACATGCAAACAAAATGCCTGTGCATCATAGAACAGACATTAAGGACAAAGGCAAAGACAAAATAACCCTCGACTAAAACTAAAAAGTGTAAACAATAAGTTAACAAACACCAAACGGTCTTGATGGTGGGAATGAGCCTTCTTACATTAGCAGCAACAGTTTGGATGTAATCATCCAGCGTATTTTCTCCTTCATCAGAGTGTGTGTGGTCCAAAAACCAGTAGCTGAACAAGAAGATCTGCTTTGTATGTGTTTCACCAGGTGTGGCCGCTGCCGGTGCTGCTGGAGGCGGTGAAGGTGTCTCCTCTCATAGAGAAGGTCAGCGACCACAAAGACTTCAAGAAGCTGCTCAGGACAAGAACCAATGTTCTGGTGGTCTACACAGACACAGGTAGAGATGTATGTTTTACCAGAGCACGCTTAATGTGCACGGTTTAAGAAAACAAAACCTTTGTCTGTTTGGAGTTTGCTATCAGAAATGTTATCTTATGCAGCAGCATAGGTTTCTGGTTGAGCGTCCATCGTTCCTACAGCTGAATAAAGGTCATGGATCACATGAATGATCAACACTGACTCTCAGTTAGCTTGTCACTGTAGAGGTTGGCTGGAAAACCAAAGAACATTTGGTGTTATATGACAATATTACAGGTATTTCATAGACAAACAACTAGAAATACCCTGTCTAACTATACATTTTTAGCAGTATTGATTATAGATTATTGTTATACTGAAATCATCGTACTTTCATTTCCTGAAGAGCAACCAATCCTTTTAGTGCAGACATAATTATGTACTTGTACAGCTGCATGATTTTATTGCAATCAGAGAAGATAAGTGTGTTATTTTGGCTACAGAACTGAGGACTCGGGTCGTCTGCTCCTCCTGTGGCTAAGTGTAGTT